GGGGGGGGGGGGGGGGGGGGGGGGTGGGGGGGGGGGGGGGGGGGGGGGGGGGGGGGGGGGGGGGGGGGGGGGGGGGGGGGGGGGGGGGGTGGGGGGGGGGGGGGGGGGGGGGGGGGGGGGGGGGGGGGGGGGGGGGGGGGGGGGGGGGGGGGGGGGGGGGGGGGGGGGGGGGGGGGGGGGGGGGGGGGGGGGGGGGGGGGGGGGGGGGGGGGGGGGGGGGGGGGGTGTGTGGGGGGGGTGGGTGTGGGGGTGTGGGGGTGTGGTGGGTGTGTGGTGTGTGTGGGTGTGTGGGGTGTGTGGTGTGTGTGTGTGTGTGGGGGTGTTGTGTGTGTGATGTTGTGTATATATTTTGTATAGTCTAATTTTTATATTTTAAGATAATTACGAATATTATTTATAAATATTTTATTTATTAGGCTTTTCTGTTAGTTGTGTATTGGCACTTTTATTTTCCTATTTCTCCCTCTGTGTTTTATATATATATATGGGGTGGATGGGGAGCGGGGGGGAGGTGTTGTGTTTTAGCTCTGTAAGGTTTTATGAATCAGCCATAAATAAAGAAGCTGATGAGATTCTGTGTTTTTTCTGTTCTTTCAGTTTTTTTTTTTTTTTTTTAGCAAAGTACAAGTCCAGGATAGTGGAAAGGCTTCTGTAATCCTCGGGAAACATTCAAAGCCCATGATATCCTTAAAACAAACACAAAGAACCTGTAAAGTATATCTGAAAACATAAAAAAAAAAGAAAAACTTTTTTAAAAACTGTGGCTAGACGAGGGGGAGGTAAAACCCCGGTCAGTTTTTTTTCTCTTTGACATTTCTGTCTTATTAGGGAGATTTCCCTTCACTTCCTATTCTGGAGACTCAACAGGGAAGTGACAGGATATCTTTCTATTGGGAGGAAAACAACCTCTTTGATAGTTGTCACCAGGTGCGGACTGGCAACTCACGGGGCCCCTGGGCAATAGGGGATCGTGGGGCCCCTGTGTCCTTGCCCACACTCAAAAAAAAAAGCCTATAAAAAGGTTCCAGGGCATTTCATGGGGCCCCCTACTGTCCCCGGGCTCTCGGGGGCAGTGCCCGAGTGCTTGATTGGTCAGTCCACCCCTGGTTGTCACTAGATCCAGTGTCCCCCCTGGAAGATTTCCTCTCTATTACTGTTCATAGAGAAGCACAGAGACCCAATGATGACATCACCGGGTCTAAAAGAAGGTATTTAATGAAAATGGAAAGGTTTTATTTGTAGCACTACCCCCTTCAGGGTTGCTTTGTATTTTTTGGATTCCCTGTCAATCTGGATCTCTTGTTGAAAGCCCAGCCTCTCCTGACACCACCGTGCTCTTGTGACCAAAATAAATCCCGACGGTGAAATGGACGCACACACAAGCTGAGATAAACCAATAGGAAGTGTATATCCGAATTAAAGGTAATGTCGTCAACAAGAACAAAATGACAGCGAAATATGCAGCAAGTATAATCGCTCTTGGCAATTGTGAGCAAAGGTAACGCCATTCACAATAAAGCAACAATAATTGTTAGCAGACCTGCTTTCCAAAATAATCCACTGCCTCCAATCTGAGGGGACTGCTGAATCCCCGGTGAGCAGAAACAAGAAGCAGGTAGGTTCACTGCGGGTCCTCAGAACTAGATGACAAGGATTGGATGTGAAGTAATGAGAATTGTTGTTTAGAATTGAGCAATATCCCTTTAAGAGCATCACAGTGTCTTCTGCGCGCTTGTTGGGGCCCGGTTGGTATGAAATTGAGGTGTGGAATATAGTTCCTCAGCATGGCAACACAAAGATAGTGAGGGAACATGGGATATTTAACACTCTTCCTTTTTGTGGTAGTGAATTACTGAGGGGTCCCCTTTAAAGCACTAAACATAGGGCAGGCTTGAAGTAACGAATAGCAATATTTGGCATAGGTGTCTATGGACAAAGACAACTCCCTCTGAATGTCAAAGGCAAAATGAACAGTAGGAGGAATCCAGCTTTGGTGAAGAATGGAAACTTGTTGGCACTGATGTATCCTGGTCTGCGACTGTATGTCCTGCGGTCAGCTTGTAAAATAAACTGGAATGCAGATGTATCCCAACGATGGCGCCTGGGAGGACTAGGCCACAAACTGGGGGGAGTATATGTAATGTTCACAACTATGTGCAGGTAGATAGCTGAGGTGGCAACTGTCAGTATTAAGAACTAGATGACAAGGATTGGATGTGAAGTAATAAGAATTCTCATTTAGAATTGAGCAATATCCCTTTAAGAGCATCACAGTGTCTTCTGCACGCTTGTTGGGGCCCGGTTGGTATGAAATTGAGGTGTGGAATATAGTTCCTCAGCATGGCAACACAAAGATAGTTAGTGAGGGAACATGGGATATTTAACACTCTTCCTTTTTGTGGTAGTGAATTACTGAGGGGTCCCCTTTAAAGCACTAAACATAGGGCAGGCTTGAAGTAACGAATAGCAATATTTGGCATAGGTGTCTATGGACAAAGACAACTCCCTCTGAATGTCAAAGGCAAAATGAACAGTAGGAGGAATCCAGCTTTGGTGAAGAATGGAAACTTGTTGGCACTGATGTATCCTGGTCTGCGACTGTATGTCCTGCGGTCAGCTTGTAAAATAAACTGGAATGCAGATGTATCCCAACGATGGCGCCTGGGAGGACTAGGCCACAAACTGGGGGGGAGTATATGTAATGTTCACAACTATGTGCAGGTAGATAGCTGAGGTGGCAACTGTCAGTATTAAGAACTAGATGACAAGGATTGGATGTGAAGTAATAAGAATTCTCATTTAGAATTGAGCAATATCCCTTTAAGAGCATCACAGTGTCTTCTGCACGCTTGTTGGGGGCCCGGTTGGTATGAAATTGAGGTGTGGAATATAGTTCCTCAGCATGGCAACACAAAGATAGTGAGGGAACATGGGATATTTAACACTCTTCCTTTTTGTGATAGTGAATTACTGAGGGGTCCCCTTTAAAGCACTAAACATAGGGCAGGCTTGAAGTAACGAATAGCAATATTTGGCATAGGTGTCTATGGACAAAGACAACTCCCTCTGAATGTCAAAGGCAAAATGAACAGTAGGAGGAATCCTGCTTTGGTGAAGAATGGAAACTTGTTGGCACTGATGTATGCTGGCCTGCAACTGTATGTCCTGCGGTCAGCTTGTAAAATAAACTGGAATGCAGATGTATCCCAACGATGGTGCCTGGGAGGACTAGGCCACAAACTGGGGCGAGTATATGTAATGGTCACAACTGTGTGCAGGTAGATAGCTGAGGTGGCAACTGTCAGTATTCAGAACTAGATGACAAGGATTGGATGTGAAGTATTGAGAATTCTCATTTAGAATTGAGCAATATCCCTTTATGAACACTACAGTGTCTTCTGCGCACTTTTTGGGGCCCGGTTGATATGAAGATGAAAATGGTGTAGCTGAGGTGGCAACTGTCAGTATTCGCTTGGTTAGTGGGTGCATGGGTCTCTTTCACCCGATCAGAGTAGTCCGGCAGACTGTAGCTGTCCATCTTTCCCTGCAGATGGGGTCAGTCCACGGACTCTCTGGTGCAGACAGACTCGGTGCCCCAACTGGTCTCCTGCTGTCAGATCGGCCTGCTGGGCAGCGTGGCAGACCCGGCAGTCAACCCCAGCTTAGTTCAGCACTTCAGCTGTCAGCACACCTCCTTCTCCTTCAGGCTCTTATCGCACTCTCCTGGTCAGTCTCCCGAGCATGGATATTTATATGCCCCTCGCCCACACGCTACCTTTCTTGGGAAATGTTGTCCCTGACCACCCTGCTCACCAGCTGAGTCCTGCTGTTCAGCATACAAGTTCCAGAGGGCTGTTCTGCCCATGTAGTGACCCTGAATGGCAGGCCATCGCCATCTAATGTCCATCTTAATGTATTGCAAGTAGTAACATTTCAGTGGGTTACATATTTATTCATTTCTATAGCATGCTGATGAGGGAGAATGGAGGAACAAGGGGAGGCAAAATATAAGCAGGTTCAACTTCATATTTAACCTTACACAATCTATCCAAAAGTAAAAAAATTCACTTTAACCTCTTTAGGGCCGTCCGCCCGCGTTGTACTGCCAATGGGCGGCTCCTATGGGCACATTGATGCACCCGTAAGTTGCTGCCTGTTCCCGGGTTTAGGGTCAGATAGCCCGCCACACTATCATAGTCCTGCTATAAGTCGCTGCCTGTTGCCGGGTTCAGTTGCGCGCCAGGGGTCAGATGGCCCGCCACACTATCATAGTCCTGCTATAAGTCGCTGCCTGTTGCCCGGTTCAGTTGCGCGCCAGGGGTCAGATGACCCGCCACACTATCATAGTCCCACTATAAGTCGCTGCCTGTTGCCGGGTTCAGTTGCGCGCCAGGGGTCAGATGACCCGCCACACTATCATAGTCCCACTATAAGTTGCTGCCTGTTGCCGGGTTCAGTTGCACGCCAGGGGTCAGATGGCCCGCCACACTATCATAGTCCCACTATAAGTCGCTGGTCACCGCCATTACTAATCTACAAAATAAATAAAACTTCCAATATATATCCCATAGTTATCTTTTACACAAACCAATCAATATATACTTATTGGGATTTCTATTTATTTATTTATTTTACCAAAGACACGGAGCAGAATACATTTAAACCAAAATTTATGAAGAAATTTGATTTTTAAATTTTTTTCATAGATATGTTTTAGAACAGAAAGTAATATTGTTTTTTTTGTTCATATAATAAAAAATAGAAAAAAAAACTCTCAGTGGTGATCAAATACCACCAAAAGAAAGCTCTATTTGTATGAAAAAAATTATATACATTTGATTTGGGTACAGCATGACTGCACAGTTACCAGTTAAAGTAGCACAGTGCTGAATAACAAAAGATGGCCAGGTCATGAAGGGGGCAAAATTTTCCAAAGGTCAAACGGTTAACATATACTATATTGGTCAAAGTATTGGCCCCGCAATTATGTGATTCAGGTGTTCCAATCCCCTCCATATCATGTGATTCAGGTGTTCCAATCCCCTTCCAATCATGTGATTCAGGTGTTCCAATCCCCTCCATATCATGTGATTCAGGTGGTCCAATCCCCTCCATGGACACAGGTGTATACAATCAGGCCCCTAGGCATGCAGACTGCTTCTACAAACATTGGTGAAAGAATGGGTCGCTCTCAGGAGCTCAGTGACTCCAGGCGTGGTCCCGTGATAGGTGGCCACCTGTGCAATAAGTCCATCCGTGACATTTCCTGGCTACTAAATATTCCACGCTCAGCTGTTAGTGGGATTATAACAAAGTGGAAGCCACTGGGAACAACAGCCACTCAGCCACCAAGTGGTAGGCCACGTCACATGACAGGGCGGGGTCAGCGCATGCTGAAGTGCACAGTGCGCAGAAGTCACCAACTGTCTGCAGAGTCAATAGCTAAAGACCTCCAAACTTGGTGTGGCCTTCAGGTGAGCCCAACAACAGTGTGTAGAGAGCTTCATGGAATGGGTTTCCATGGCCGAGCAGCTGCATCCAAGCCTTCCATCACCAAGTGCAATGCAAAGCGTCGGATGCCGTGGTGTAAAGCACGCCGCCACTGGACTCTAGAGCAGAGGAGACGTGTTCTCTGGAGGGATCAATCACGCTTCTCTGTCTGGCAATCTGATGGACGTGTCTGGGTTTGGCGGTTACCAGGAGAAAGGGACTTGCCTGACTGCATTGTGCCAAGTGTAAGTTTGGTGGAGGGGGGATTATGGTGTGGGGGTGTTTTTCAGGGGTTGGACTTGGCCCCCTAGTTCCAGTGAAGGGAACTCTTAAGGCGACATTTTGGACAATTTCATGCTCCCAACTTTGTGGGAGGAGTTTGGGGATGGCCCCTTCCTGTTCCAACATGACTGCCCACCAGTGCACAAGGCAAGGTCCATAAAGACATGGAGGAGCCAGTTTGGGGTGGAGGAACTTGACTGTCCTGCACAGAGTCCTGACCTCAACCCCATAGAACACCTTTGGGATGAATTAGAGCGGAGACTGCGAGCCAGGCCTCCTCCCCCGACATCAGTGCCTGACCTGACAAATGTGCTTCTGGAAGAATGGTCCAACCTTCCCATAGACACCCTCCTAAACCTTGTGGACGGCCTTCCCAGAAGAGTTGAAGCTGTTATAGCTGCAATGGGCGGGGCCAACTCAATATTGAACCCTACGGACTAAGATTGGGGGGCCATTAAAGGTCATGTGTGTGGAAAGGGCGGGGCCAACTCAATATTAAACCCTACGGGCTAAGACTGGGGGGCCATTAAAGGTCATGTGTGTGGAAAGGCCGGCGGCCCAATACTGAGGGCAATATAGTGTATATATGGGGGGCGGGGCCCAATACTTGGGGCTATATAGTGTATATATGGGAAGGTGGGGCCCAATAATTGGGGCTATATAGTGTATATATGGGGGGGCGGGGACAATACTTGAGGCGAGGCAATATAGTGTATATATGGGGGGGTGGGGCCCAATACTGAGGGCAATATAGTGTATATATGGGGGGGCGGGGCCCAATACTTGGGGCGATATAGTTTATATATGGGGGGGGGGGGACAATACTTGGGTCAATATAGTGTATACGTTGAAAAAATTTATAACCAGAAATTAAATGTGAAATTGATCAGTAGATCCAGAAATATACAGTAGTTGAAGTTATATGCAAACCCTGACTTCCGATTAAAAGTCAGGCTTGAGAACTTTATGTCCCACCTCCCAAGCCTTCCTACTGGCCAGTGATACTTCTATGCAAATTAAAGGACTGATAGGGAGTATCAGAAAGCGGGAATGATCTCCACAGGGAGCCAAGCTCAGCTCTTCATAGGAAAAATCAAGATTTGTACATAACTTCAGCTGCCTCCATTTTCTGGATCTACTGATCTCTTGGACATGCAATTGTCACCCAAGGCACCCTTGCTTGTGGCCATGTCTATTACCTGATTACTGGAACATGGGGACAACATTCAGGTTCTAGGCTGAATAATGGAGCCATTCAATGGGAGAGCTGTGTACTGCGTTGGTTGAAATGATAAATGTTCCCATTTGACTGGGAGGAACCTTCAAAAAAAAATGGCAGAGTTCAAAGAAAAAGTAAAAAAACAAAGAAAAAGTTAAAAAAAAACAAAAAGGAGGTCCTTGGGTTTCTGTTGGTTGTTTGGCATTGCTGTCAGTCTCCCTCAGAACTCATCTCTGTGCTTTATGTTTGGAGGATGGTGCCATTCCTTCTCTACGCTACGTGTTCACCGGGGCATACACACACGTGTTTGCTGAGTCGGTATTTATGAGAAGTGTTTGCATTTCACAGGCATAGCGCGTAGTGGGATATTTTGTCTGTCGCTTTGTGAAAGCGGGCACGCCGATCCTACCAGCCCATATTTACCCTTCCCAGCATAGCAACCAATGGAGGACGTATCCACCATATCTGAGGAGAGGAGGGGAGCAAGTCCAAGCTTGGGAGCCGAGAGGACTATCAGATATACAACCAGTGATTGGCCAGATGGTCTGGGAGGGGGGCTGGGAATATGTGGTCTGAGGGGCAACTACAACCAATGGGCTGCTTTATGGTAGAGAGAGAGGTTTCTGTGGACCAAAAGTGTTCAAAGTGTGCCATGGTGCTTCATTGGGTCAGTGCTTGGTTGGTGTTCAGTAGAAGGGCGAAGACCCCTTTGCAATGGTGTTCATGGGAAGAATGTCCCTTACATTGGGGGTCGGTGGGAAGAATGTCCCTTACATTGGGGGGTCGGTGGGAAGAATGTCCCTTACATTGGGGGTCAGTGGAAAGAATGTCCCTTACATTGGGGGTCAGTGGGAAGAATGTTCCTAACATTTGGGGTCAGTGGGAAGAATGTCCCTTACATTGGTGGTCAGTGGGAAGAATGTCCCTTACATTGGGGGTCAGTGGGAAGAATGTCCCTTACATTGGGGGGTCAGTGGGAGGAATGTCCCTTACATTGGGGGTCAGTGGGAAGAATTTCCCTTACATTGGTGGTCAGTGGGAAGAATGTCCCTTACATTGGGGTCAGTGGGAAGAATGTCCCTTACATTGGTGGTCAGTGGGAAGAATGTCCCTTACATTGGGGGTCAGTGGAAAGAATGTCCCTTACATTGGGGGTCAGTGGGAAGAATGTCCCTTACATTGGGGGTCAGTGGGAAGAATGTCCCTTACATTGGGGGTCAGTGGGAAGAATGTCCCTTACATTGGTGATCAGTGGGAAGAATGTCCCTTACATTGGGGGTCAGTGGGAAGAATGTCCCTTACATTGGGGGTCAGTGGGAAGAATGTTCCTAACATTGGGGGTCAGGGGGAAGAATGTCCTTTACATTGGAGGTCAGTGGGAAGAATGTCCCTTACATTGGGGGGTCAGTGGGAAGAATGTCCCTTACATTGGTGGTCAGTGGGAAGAACGTCCCTTACATTGGTGATCAGTGGGAAGAATGTCCCTTACATTGGTGGTCAGTGGGAAGAATGTCCCTTACATTGGGGGTCAGTGGGAAGAATGTCCCTTACATTGGGGGTCAGTGGAAGAATGTCCCTTACATTGGGGGGGTCAGTGGGAAGAATGTCCCTTACATTGGGGGTCAGTGGGAAGAATGTCCCTTACATTGGTGATCAGTGGGAAGAATGTCCCTTACATTGGGGGTCAGTGGGAACAATGTCCCTTACATTGGTGATCAGTGGGAAGAATGTCCCTTGCATTGGGGGTCAGTGGAATAGGCTGCATCCTCAGTGATGTCACTGCTCTAGTGAACAGATAGGCTGCATTGGCGGTGATGTCATCGCTCTCTAGTGAACAAATAGACTACATTCTCAGTGATGTCATCGCTCTCTAGTGAAAGGATAGGCTGCCTTCTCAGTGATGTCACTGAGCTCTAGTGAACGGATAGGCTGCATTCTCAGTGATGTCACCGCTCTCTAGTGATTGGATAGGCTGCATTCTCAGTGATGTCACCGCTCTCTAGTGATTGGATAGGCTGCGTTCTCAGTGATGTCACCGCTCTCTAGTGATTGGATAGGCTGCATTCTCAGTGATGTCACCGCTCTCTAGTGATTGGATTGGCTGCATTTGTTGTAGTTGTGGAGTAGCAGTCCACTTTGTATAAAGTCCTTAATTCCCCTTTTAATTCTGAATTTGTTTTTCTCCGGCTCATCCTACGAATCCAGAATGAATCCTCTATAAATAATCTTCAGTTTCTTTATGTGAGGGAAGAACATATTTTATCATACGGCTTCTCCAGCGATAAGAGGCCTGGATTATTTCCCTGCCGAGGCGATGGGAGCGCCAAACACGAGGAGTTTTTGTGTCCTTGGCAGCGAGGTCAGGTGATTCCCCAGAGTATCTCCCTCGAAATGCAGAAAATATGCGATTGTATCAAGTGAATCGCACTTCTTCTGCAGCGGGGAGGAAGGGTTCTGGGGGGAAATCACTCTTTATTGATAACAGCATGTTCTACAATGTTTCATCAGCGATATTTACATCTAAATTAGGAGCAGTTGTGAGGTTGCTGGGCGATTTTCTAGCACTAAAAAAAAAAATAAAAAATTCCTGATTGACAGTAGAGATATTATCTTAATACAAGCCGTATGTGGACAGAAATGGAAGGTTTTCTTTACCTGGTTTCAATTGTACGGCTACGAAGCACCCCCTGTGAATGAGAACATCAAGAACCGCGCGTAGCGAGTACGTGCCAGAGAGATCGGAATGCAAGGTCTGGTTAGCAGGTAGCTATGCTTTTCATTAGGCGGACTTATCTTTATGGGACGTGGCTGGCATGTTTAAAGGATCAGTCCACTTAAAGTGGACCCATACTGTGGAAGCTGTGCCCAAAAAAGGGCAAGCAAGGGTCAAAGGACTGGTGACCAGGAGCATAGGTTCCCTGCAGCTGATCCTTTCTACATTGCTGACTTGCCATGTCTTGTTCGGCACTGTCTCTCCATGTGGAGGCGGCATCATCTTGGTAGAGGAGCAGGGCTTTGCTTCTTCATGTCAGAGCTGCCCCCCCGATGGCTGAAGATCTGATAACCAGTGGAGTAATAATCACAAAGCAAGAGGAGAGAAGGAAAAAGGACAGATCTACAGAAAAGTTACATAGAAGCAGGGAGACCCTTGCACTGCAGGTCCTCAGGTACAGCTTCCTCTCCAGCAAGGAGAACAATGAGCAGCACAGTTGTGACATCACCAAAAAACTGGACTTATAACGTACGTGCCAGAGAGATCAGAATGCAAGGTCTGGTTAGCAGGTAGCTATGCTTTTCATTAGGCGGACTTATCTTTATGGGACGTGGCTGGCATGTTTTAAAGGATCAGTCCACTTAAAGTGGACCCATACTGTGGAAGCTGTGCCGAAAAAAGGGCAAGCAAGGGTCAGAGGACTGGTGACCAGGAGCATAGGTTCCCAGCAGCTGATCCTTTCTACATTGCTGACTTGCCATGTCTTGTTCGGCACTGTCTCTCCATGTGGAGGCAGCCATCTTGGTAGAGGAGCAGGGCTTTGCTTCTTCATGTCAGAGCTGCCCCCCCGATGGCTGAAGATCTGATAACCAGTGGAGTAATAATCACAAAGCAAGAGGAGAGAAGGAAAAAGGACAGATCTACAGAAAAGTTACATAGAAGCAGGGAGACCCTTGCACTGCAGGTCCTCAGGTACAGCTTCCTCTCCAGCAAGGAGAACAATGAGCAGCACAGTTGTGACATCACCAAAGAACTGGACTTATAACGTACGTGCCAGAGAGATCGTAATGTAAGGTCTGGTTAGCAGGTAGCTATGCTTTTCATTAGGCGGACTTATCTTTATGGGACGTGGCTGGCATGTTTAAAGGACCAGTCCACTTAAAGTGGACCCATACTGTGGAAGCTGTGTCCAAAAACAGGGCAAACAAGGGTCAGAGGACTGGTGACCAGGAGCATAGGTTCCCTGCAGCTGATCCTTTCTACATTGCTGACTTGCCATGTCTTGTTTGGCACTGTCTCTCCATGTGGAGGCGGCCATCTTGGTAGAGGAGCAGGGCTTTGCTTCTTCATGTCAGAGCTGCCCCCCCCGATGGCTGAAGATCTGATAACCAGTGGAGTAATAATCACAAAGCAAGAGGAGAGAAGGAAAAAGGACAGATCTACAGAAAAGTTACATAGAAGCAGGGAGACCCTTGCACTGCAGGTCCTCAGGTACAGCTTCCTCTCCAGCAAGGAGAACAATGAGCAGCACAGTTGTGACATCACCAAAGAACTGGACTTATAACGTACGTGCCAGAGAGATCGGAATGCAAGGTCTGGTTAGCAGGTAGCTATGCTTTTCATTAGGCGGACTTATCTTTATGGGACGTGGCTGGCATGTTTAAAGGACCAGTCCACTTAAAGTGGACCCATACTGTGGAAGCTGTGTCCAAAAACAGGGCAAACAAGGGTCAGAGGACTGGTGACCAGGAGCATAGGTTCCCTGCAGCTGATCCTTTCTACATTGCTGACTTGCCATGTCTTGTTTGGCACTGTCTCTCCATGTGGAGGCGGCCATCTTGGTAGAGGAGCAGGGCTTTGCTTCTTCATGTCAGAGTTGCCTCCCCCCCCCCGCCCGCCCTGATGGCTGAAGATCTGATAACCGGTGGAGTAATGATCAGGGAGCAAACAGCAGAGAAGGAAAAAGGACAGAACTACAGAAAGGTAACAGAAGCAGGGAGATCCTTGCAGTGCAGGTCCTCAGGTACAGCTTCCTCTCCAGCAAGGAGAACAGTGAGCAGCACAGTTGTGACATCACCAAAGAACTGGACTTATCACGTACGTGCCAGAGAGATCAGAATGCAAGGTCTGGTTAGCAGGTAGCTATGCTTTTCATTGGGCGGACTTATCTTTATGGGATGTGGCTAACATGTTTAAAGGATCAGTCCACTTAAAGCGGACCTGTGCTGTGGAAGCTGTGCCCAAACGGTACACACCCCTCCCAGGACAATATAGGAAAGCAGCCTCACACAGGGATCTCACGGCCTGGCCTAAAAGGCCTTTTGCAATCCCTTCAGACTTTCACAGGTGTACTGGCTCCTCCCCTTCAGTCTTCACAGGTGTACCAGCTCCTCCCCTTCAGTCTACCACAGGTGTACCGGCTCCTCCCCTTTAGTCTTGCACAGGTGTACTGGCTCCTCCCCTGGACTGAAACGGCTTCCTCTGATGTCACTGCACACTGGGAGCTTCTCACAATGTGCATTAGAAGCTGCAATCAGACAGATAGAGCTCCGCCCCATTTCCTGGCTGGAGGACGTCCAGCATTATCTAATTCTTTCCTCCCCAGCCTGACTGTCCCTGGCCCTGCCCCTTTCAATCATTGGACTTCATTTCTTTCAATCACGGAGGAATTACCTATGCAAATTAAATCTGCCTAGGAACGCCCACTCTTCCAGACTGATACCCACCCATCAAGTCAGTTTGATATTTGCATAACTGCTCCCCACTACTTGCATCAGGACCAGGAGCGGACTGACCATTCGAACACTCTGGCACTGCCCGAGGGCCCAGGGTCAGTAGGGGTCCCCATGATATGCCCCTGGTACGTTTCATTGGCTTTTTCATAGGCTTTTTTGGGTGTGGACAAGGACACGGGCCCCCATGATCCCCTATTGCCCCATGAGTTGTCAGTCCGCCCCTGATCAGGATTGAGGGCTCTTGAGAGGCGTACCGAAGCAGAGTGCTGTAAAAACATCACAGCACCCTTTAGGCCCCTCCCACCACCAGCCATGAACGGCCTGCATTGCATAGAGACGCACAGAGCCCCAGTGATGATGTCGCTGAGTCTTAAATAAGGTATGTAATGAAAATGGAAAGTCTTTTCTTTAACAATGTCAGGGGCGGACGCTGACCATTGGGGAACTCGGGCACTGCCCGAGGGCCCGGGGTCAGTAGGGGGCCCCATGAGATGTCCCTGGTACCTTTCATAGGCTTTTTTGGGTGTGATTTGAGTGTGGGCGAGGACACAGGGGCCCCATGATCCCCTATTGCACAGGGGCCCCATGAGTTGTCAGTCCGCCCCTGAACAATGTCATTAGCATAATGCCGATGGGGATGGGAGGAACCAAGGTAGGCAAAATATAATCTTCAACCCATCGTGTGCATCAACGTTTCATTGGCTTTTTCATAGGCTTTTTTGGGTGTGGACAAGGACACGGGGCCCCCATGATCCCCTATTGCCCCATGAGTTGTCAGTCCGCCCCTGATCAGGATTGAGGGCTCTTGAGAGGCGTACCGAAGCAGAGTGCTGTAAAAACATCACAGCACCCTTTAGGCCCCTCCCACCACCAGCCATGAACGGCCTGCATTGCATAGAGACGCACAGAGCCCCAGTGATGATGTCGCTGAGTCTTAAATAAGGTATGTAATGAAAATGGAAAGTCTTTCTTTAACAATGTCAGGGGCGGACTGACCATTGGGGAACTCGGGCACTGCCCGAGGGCCCGGGGTCAGTAGGGGGCCCCATGAGATGTCCCTGGTACCTTTCATAGGCTTTTTTGGGTGTGATTTGAGTGTGGGGCGAGGACACAGGGGCCCCATGATCCCCTATTGCACAGGGGCCCCATGAGTTGTCAGTCCGCCCCTGAACAATGTCATTAGCATAATGCCGATGGGGGATGGGAGGAACCAAGGTAGGCAAAATATAATCTTCAACCCATCGTGTGCATCAACGTTTCATTGGCTTTTTCATAGGCTTTTTTGGGTGTGGACAAGGACACGGGGGCCCCATGATCCCCTATTGCCCCATGATTTGTCAGTCCGCCCCTGAACAATGTCATTAGCATGATGCCGATGGGGGATGGGAGGAACCAGGGTAGGCAAAATATAATCTTCAACCCAACGTGTGCATCAACGTTTCATTGGCTTTTTCATAGGCTTTTTTGGGTGTGGACAAGGACATGGGGGCCCCATGATCCCCTATTGCCCCATGATTTGTCAGTCCGCCCCTGAACAATGTCATTAGCATGATGCCGATGGGGGATGGGAGGAACCAAGGTAGGATAAATATAATCTTCAACCCATGGTGTGCATCAAGTCGGAGGACTCTTGAGAGGAGGACTGATCGTTGGACTTTCAGACCCCCAGCCAGAATATTAGTTTGTACATGTAGAAAACAGGTGCTCTTTAAAAGCACATAAATCGACTTGTCTTAGGGAGCGGCATGAGGCTCTCAGAACATCCATCCTCCCGTCATCTGGAATGTCTACTCGTGTGGAGAAACATCTTTAAATAATTGTATACTTTGGTGAACCTCCGTGCCCCGTACATCTGTCTTACACACTGCTCTCCTTTCTTGTAAGCAAATAAAAAAAAAAAAAAACGCCAGCAGTAAACCATCAGGCGAGTATTTACAAAGTCGGAAAGACAGAAATAAGCTGCACTTGGCTTTTGAACTTGGCGTTTTTTCAATTAGGCGGCAAAAGAGCTGGAATAGGGTTTGGACGAGCGTGTAAGGAGCGATCGAAATAATGAGGGACGTGAAACCGGGAAGGAGGAAATATTAATGTGTCGTTCCTCGTTAAGTGCCATCTGTGGGATGCAACCCGAAAACAAGACACTTAGGAGTCCACGGAAATGTTTCCAAATATTTGTCCACCTCCTGGCGCGACCTTCCTGTTTCGTGCGACTTCTCAGCAGCGCCAAATGAGCCAATCGAGTCCTCTGTAAGGTCAGGGGCAGGTTGGACCAAAACGCCAACCTGGGATCTTTTTGGGCTGGAGAACTTGCTTCATGTCTGTGGTCACGTTTGGTGGGCAGTACCTCCGCCAAATGTGACTCATTCAAGTGAATGGGGCTGTGTCACAATCACGTGTAATGATCGCGTTTGTGGCGTAGTGTTGCGGCCTTTCAAGGGTTAACACAGGAGTCCCGTAGGTGACATATCGCCATGTGTCTCGGAGAAGCGATCCACCGTAGGTGACCACCGAACATGTAAATGAGCCCTAGGTCTGAATTCTAGAACACTTTGCCATTGCCAGACCTAGCAGGTTACTGAGCAGGACTACAGCCTCTTGCTATCAGGTCTACATTTCACGTAATGCAGTGGTAGCGGCGATGGCGTGAATCGCTCCTTACTGAATGATCTCATACACCTGAGATTTCTAGGGGTTCCATGAGCAAAGAGCAAGATTGACTGCCTGCATGATGGGGCCTGCTTACTTCCTGGCCCTACCTCAATGGGCAAAGCCAATGACCTCGGACCAGTGGAGTTCATGATCTATTCTCTCAAGTAAGAAACAACTGACACAAATGCTGCCTCTGAGAGTCGTATTTATCCCTATGACCACCAATGTAAAGGACATTCTTCCCACTGACCACCAATGTAAAGGACATTCTTCCCACTGACCACCAATGTAAGGGACATTCTTCCCACTGACCCCCAATGTAAGGTTCATTCTTCCCACTGACCCCCAATGTAAGGGACATTCTTCCCACTGACCACCAATGTAAGGAGCTTTCTTCTCACTGATCACCAATGTAAGGGACATTCTTCTCACTGATCACCAATGTAAGGGACATGCTTCCCACTGACCACCAATGTAAGGGACATTCTTCCCACTGACCCCCAATGTAAGGGACATTCTTCCCACTGATCCCCAATGTAAGGGACATTCTTCCCACTGACCCCCAATGTAAGGGACATTCTTCCCACTGACCCCCAATGTAAGGGACATTCTTCCCACTGACCCCCAATGTAAGGGACATTCTTCCCACTGACCCCCAATGTAAGGGACATTCTTCCCACTGACCCCCAATGTAAGGGACATTCTTCCCACTGACCACCAATGTAAGGGACATTCTTCCCACTGACCCCCAATGTAAGGGACGTTCTTCCCACTGATCACCAATGTAAGGGACATTCTTCCCACTGACCCCCCAATGTAAGGGACATTCTCGCCACTGACCCCCAATGTAAGGGACATTCTTCCCACTGACCCCCAATGTAAAGAGCATTCTTCTCACTGACCACCAATGTAAGGGACATTCTTTCCACTGACCCCCAATGTAAGGGACATTCTTCTCACTGACCCCCAATGTAAGGGACATTCTTGCCACTGACCCCCAATGTAAGGGACATTCTTCCCACTGACCCCCAATGTAAGGGACATTCTTCCCACTGACTACCAATGTAAGGGACATTCTTCCCACTGATCACCAATGTAAGGGGGGCATTCTTCCCACCGACCCCCAATGTAAGGGACATTCTTCCCACTGACCTCCAATGTAAGGGACATTCTTCCCACCAACCCCAATGTAAGGGACATTCTTCCCACTGATCCCCAATGTAAGGGACATTCTTCCCACCGACCACCAATGTAAGGGACATTCTTCCCACCGACCACCAATGTAAGGGACATTCTTCCCACTGACCCCCAATGTAAGGGACATTCTTCCCACTGACCCCCAATGTAAGGGACATTCTTCCCACTGACCCTCAATGTAAGGGACATTCTTCCCAACGACCACCAATGTAAGGGACATTCTTCCCACTGACCCCCAATGTAAGGGACATTCTTCCCACCGACCACCAATGTAAGGGACATTCTTCCCACTGACCCCCAATGTAAGGGACATTCTTCCCACTGACCTCCAATGTAAGGGACATTCTTCCCACTGACCCTCAATGTAAGGGACATTCTTCTCACTGATCACCAATGTAAGGGACATGCTTCCCACTGACCACCAATGTAAGGGACATTCTTCCCACTGACCACCCAATGTAAGGGACATTCTTCCCACTGACCCCCAATGTAAGGGACATTCTTCCCACTGACCCCCAATGTAAGGGACATTCTTCCCACTGACCCCCAATGTAAGGGACATTCTTCCCACTGACCCCCAATGTAAGGGACATTCTTCCCACTGACCCCCCAATGTAAGGGACATTCTTCCCACTGACCCCCAATGTAAGGGACATTCTTCCCACTGACCACCAATGTAAGGGACATTCTTCCCACTGACCCCCAATGTAAGGGACGTTCTTCCCACTGATCACCAATGTAAGGGACATTCTTCCCACTGACCCCCCAATGTAAGGGACATTCTCGCCACTGACCCCCAATGTAAGGGACATTCTTCCCACTGACCCCCAATGTAAAGAGCATTCTTCTCACTGACCACCAATGTAAGGGACATTCTTTCCACTGACCCCCAATGTAAGGGACATTCTTCTCACTGACCCCCAATGTAAGGGACATTCTTCCCACTGACTACCAATGTAAGGGACATTCTTCCCACTGACCCCCAATGTAAGGGACATTCTTGCCACTGACCCCCAATGTAAGGGACATTCTTCCCACTGACTACCAATGTAAGGGACATTCTTCCCACTGATCACCAATGTAAGGGGGGCATTCTTCCCACCGACCCCCAATGTAAGGGACATTCTTCCCACTGACCTCCAATGTAAGGGACATTCTTCCCACCAACCCCAATGTAAGGGACATTCTTCCCACTGATCCCCAATGTAAGGGACATTCTTCCCACCGACCACCAATGTAAGGGACATTCTTCCCACCGACCACCAATGTAAGGGACATTCTTCCCACTGACCCCCAATGTAAGGGACATTCTTCCCACTGACCCCCAATGTAAGGGACATTCTTCCCACTGACCCTCAATGTAAGGGACATTCTTCCCAACGACCACCAATGTAAGGGACATTCTTCCCACTGACCCCCAATGTAAGGGACATTCTTCCCACCGACCACCAATGTAAGGGACATTCTTCCCACTGACCCCCAATGTAAGGGACATTCTTCCCACTGACCTCCAATGTAAGGGACATTCTTCCCACTGACCCTCAATGTAAGGGACATTCTTCCCACTGACCCCCAATGTAAGGGACATTCTTCCCACTGATCCCCAATGTAAGGGACATTCTTCCCACTGACCCCCAATGTAAGGGACATTCTTCCCACTGACTCCCAATGTAAGGAACATTCTTCCCACCGACCACCAATGTAAGGGACATTCTTCCCACTGACCTGCAATTTAAGGGACATTCTTCCCACCGACCACCAATGTAAGGGACATTTTTCCCACTGACCCCCAATGTAAGGGACATTCTTCCCACTGACCCCCAATGTAAGGGACATTCTTCCCACTGACCCCCAATGTAAGGAGCATTTTTGAACACCATTGCAAGGGGGTATTCATCCTTCTACTGAACACCAATGTAATAGGGAATTCTTCCACCTACTAACCACCAATGCTAGGGGGACTCTAGAGCAGTGGAGATGTGTCCTCTGGAGTGACCAATCACTCCTCTCTGTCTGGCAATCCGATGGACGTGTCTGGGTTTGGCGGTTGCCAGGAGAACAGTACTTGCCTGACTCCATTGTGCCAAGTGTAAAGTTTGGTGGAGGGGGGATTATGGTGTGGGGGTTGTTTTTTCAGGGGTTGTACTTGGCCCCCTAGTTCCAGTGAAGGGAACTCTTAAGGTGACATTTCGGACAATTTCATGCTCCCACCTTTGTGGGAAGAGTTTGGGGATGGCCCCTTCCTGTTCCAACATGACTGCCCACCAGTGCACAAAGCAAGGTCCATAAAGACATGGAGGAGCCAGTTTGGGGTGGAGGAACTTGACTGTCCTGCACAGAGTCCTGACCTCAACCCCATAGAACACCTTTGGGATGAATTAGAGCGGAGACTGCGAGCCAGGCCTCCTCCCCCGACATCAGTGCCTGACCTGACAAATGTGCTTCTGGAAGAATGGTCCAACCTTCCCATAGACACCCTCCTAAACCTTGTGGACGGCCTTCCCAGAAGAGTTGAAGCTGTTATAGCTGCAAAGGGCGGGGCCAACTCAATATTGAACCCTACGGACTAAGACTGGGGGGCCATTAAAGGTCATATGCGTGGAAAGGGCGGGGCCAACTCAAATATTGAACCCTACGGACTAAGACTGGGGGGCCATTAAAGGTCATGTGCGTGGAAAGGGCGGGGCCAACTCAATATTGAACCCTACGGACTAAGACTGGGGGGCCATTAAAGGTCATGTGCGTGGAAAGGGCGGGGCCAACTCAATATTGAACGCTACGGACTAAGACTGGGGGGCCATTAAAGGTCATGTGCGTGGAAAGGGCGGGGCCAACTCAATATTGAACCCTACAAACTAAGACTGGGGGGCCATTAAAGGTCATGTGCGTGGAAAGGGCGGGGCCAACTCAATATTGAACCCTACAGACTAAGACTGGGGGGGCCATTAAAGGTCATGTGCGTGGAAAGGGCGGGGCCAACTCAATATTGAACCCTACGGACTAAGACTGGGGGGCCATTAAAGGTCATGTGCGTGGAAAGGGCGGGGCCAACTCAATATTGAACCCTACGGACTACGACTGGGGGGCCATTAAAGGTCATGTGCGTGGAAAGGGCGGGGCCAACTCAATATTGAACCCTATGGACTACGACTGGGGGGCCATTAAAGGTCATGTGTAAAGGCATTACGTTTGGCAATATAGTGTAAATAGGCATTGAGTACAAACATGACTGAGAATTTGGTGATTCTGTGGTGGCTTTCTGGTGTTATAGGGCCCATGTCTGGGGCCAGGCCGAGGGAAGGCAGAGAATGTGGCTGTACTGGCTGTATTGGACACTTCAGCAGGAGGGGGTGTAAACAGGTCAGGAACTAGAACCTGATGACATAGTTCACAGCTCATGGGGGGCTTTTCACCTTGAGTGTTGAAGATCTTGTCCCGGAATTGCTCTTGTCTGGGATTTTGACCACCCATAGCAAAGTAGGAAATTCAGGTAAGGGCAAAATTAGATGTCAGTCAACAACCAACCAACAACTTCAACCATTTTTTTGTGCTTTACAGAAATCGCAGACCGGTCAGACTGGATTTTGCCCCAAAAGTCCTTCTAATCTAACGTCCCTACCAGTCATATAACTGCTATAGCCAGTTTGGTTAGAAGACAGTTAAGCTCCTGATATGTAAGTGGGGCTTTGCTATTGGCTGATAATGTCCCTGACCAGCTCCTGTCTTTGCTAGAACAAAGCTGAGGCTGAACTTCCGGCATATTGTGCCCCACTCCATGCCAGAAGCCTCCACACAACATTCCCAACCATTGACCTGTATATCCCAAGGAAGGAAGGTCCACATAGTAGGGTTTCTTCACTTTATTGATGGTACTCAGGAAATGGCGTACAGGTCACATCACAGCGACACTCCAGATTAAAGTGTGCCAGAAGCTGTGAGGCATGTCAGGCTGTTGTCGGCCATATTGTAAACAAGCTTTTATGTGGCATTGGCGCAGTAAAGGCTTCTTTTCTGGCAACTCCACCATGCAGCTAATTTTTGATCGAGTATCATCGTATTGTATTTCTTGAAACAACCGCACCGTCTTTTTCGAGAGCAGCCTGTATTTCCCCTGAGGTGACCTGTGGGGGTTTTTCTTTGTATCCTGAACAATTCTTCTGGCAGTTTTGGCTGCAATCTTTCCTGGTCTACCTTACCCTGGCTTGGTATCAAGAGATCCCTGAATTTTCCACTTCTTGATGAGTGTTTGAACAGAACTGACCGGCCTATTGAAGGCTTTGGATATCTTTTTATATCCTTTTCCAGCTTTATAAAGTTCCATTACCTTGTTACGCAGGTCTTTTGACAGTTCTCTTCTGCTCCCCATGGCTCAGTATCTAGCCTACTCAGTGCTTCCAAGTGAGAGCTAACACACTCACTGACTATTTATACACCGACATAATCGCAATCGCAAAAGTCACAGATCTGGGAAATGAACCTTTTAATTGCCATTGTAACCCGTGTGTGTCCCCTTGTGTGTCTGTACCAAGGTCAAACATTCCAGGGGGCGGAGACTTCTGATCTGTGGGCGGAGACTTCTGATCCGGGGGGCGGAGACTTCTGATCTGGGGGCGGAGACTTCTGATCCGGGGGGCGGAGACTTCTGATCTGGGCCATTTGGGGGATTTCTGTTCTCATTAGGATTTAAAAAGGAGCCGAACAACTATGTGATCATAAATGGCTTCATATCATCCCTATCCTTCGATAAAAGACAGTTTTTTTTTTGGCATGATCCGTCAGATTTTCAAATGAATGCCAGCATTTCATGATTCCTGCCAAGGGGTGCAAACTTTCGAGCGCAACTTTACTTTCCAGAGTCATTTGACAATACACCGTCAATCACATTTAGTGGATGGTCCGCAGCAGTCACATGTAAAAGCATATGCAGAACTTTAAGCAGCCATCTCCCTCAGTCTGTCCTTCCACCCAGAGACATTAGTACTCACAGAAGTGGGTTCTCTGTAGGTATGTCCTTCATGGGTACACCTCTCCCGTGATCCCTAGTGGGACATCCTCACTCAGGGAACTTTTGACCTGACCTGAAAGGCCTTTTGCAACCCACCCTAGCCCCCACCTCCAAGAGGGCCAGGAAGTGTACAGCCAGCTCTCCTGGGTGCAGGCAGTGGTGTATTTAGGTTTTGTACTGCCCTAGGCAACAGAAAAATCGTCCGCCTTCTGCCTACACCCCCACCCACCGAGAGAGCCACCCCATGCCAAGAGAGGCTTCCACTAACAGCTGCCAAAAGCCGCCCCCCTCCCCCCAGCAGAGAGAGCCTTCCAGTAAACCCCGGCCGAAAGAGCCTTCCACTACCACCACCCCCCATACACCCGATACCACCACCTCCCCCCCCCCCCACCCCCAAGGCGAGAGAGAGAGAAAGACATTCACCTTCACACCATCAAGCAGCCTGCAGCCTCTCGTGGATCCCACTTGGTCCCCATGCCACGTGTGTCCCTTCTACAAAGCCCCCTGAAAAATGCCACCCTAGGCAAATGCCTTGTTTGCCTTGTGGTAAATACATCCCGGGGTGCAGGTTTACTCTTCTCTGGCTCCCAGCCCTGTCCGGGGCCTCCATGTGCTAGTTACATCTGAGCTGGTGTGGGGTGTTTAGCTCCCATGCCCCAACTGCCCCAAGGCTCCTCTCCAGCTGGCTTACATGTGGGCACGGAGTCCCCATGACATCACTGCAGAGGGGCTCTACCTGAAAGGGGCCTAGCACATGATGACACGAACTGCTGTAGCAGATACCCTTCTGGCACAGAGCCACCTAGTGGCAGACTAGCGAGCTGCCAAGGAACAGGCCATCGCTGGGGTGTAGGGGAGGATAGGGGAGCTCTGGCTGCCAGGGCAGGGGGGCCCACGCAGGGTGGCCTATAAACACTCTACCCTCCACACCTGCAAGCAAACATTAGAATTCAGCATTCTATAGTGAAGGAGACAAAGAACATGGTTTCAGAACCTCCATGGGTCCCCTTCCTAATGTACAGAGAGGAGGGGGGGGGGGGGGATTGCTCCATCAGTGCTCACAAAAATATATGACGGTTCAGACAGGTATTGCAGACACCCCTTTAATGCCCAACCTTTATTAATACAGTTAGTTGGTCCATATTATTCATGCCCAGAGACAGATGTTGGTGAGGTGCTGGACACAAAGTCTGAACTTGCAATGAGGAATCATCTAATGACCTAACTTCAACAGCTCCCTACAACGTGGGCCCCAACCCCGCATTGAGAAGCCCATGTGCAAAGAGCCTCAAGAGTCCAAAATCCTTTATTGTCATGTAGCACCCTGCTACATAGATAGGGGGAGCTAGAGACCATTTTTTGTTAGAAGGGCTGAGTAACAGCCTGGGGAAATAGTCAGCAGGATTCAAATTTGGGTCAGGGCTGACAGGATCTGCAGATCAGCTCAATGATACCTCTCCCTGAGGAATCTCTAGAACTTAGTGGGCGGGGGTGAGGAGGAGCTGGTCTGCACTCCTGAGGGATCCTGACCAATCCCCAACAGGAGGATTGGCATGGGGTCAGGAAAGCCCTTAAGAGTGACCAAGCCTCCTCTGCCTGAGGAATCTCTAGAACGTAGCGGGCGGGGGTGAGGAGGAGCTGGTCTGCACTCCTGAGGGATCCTGACCAATCCCCAACAGGAGGATTGGCATGGGGTCAGGAAAGCCCTTCAGAGTGACCGAGCCTCCTCTGCCTGAGGAATCTCTAGAACTTAGTGGGCGGGGGTGAGGAGGAGCTGGTCTGCACTCCTGAGGGACCCTGACCAATCCCCAACAGGAGGATTGGCATGAGG